AACTTTTAATTTCTCTTTTCCTCTGAGCACAACTTCTTTTGCAGGTCCGTCATCGTGATGCCTTTTTCGCACACGCTGATTCTCATCACTGTATTGAGTATCAGTTTTCTCATTTGCCTTAGTCTCGTAGTCGTCAAATAATTCTCTCTGTGAAACTAAAAGCGATTTTAAAAGATCGACTGCCGTTCGAAGTTCAATTGTTTTCTTTTGTAAAAATTTGCTGACAAAATTGATCCGATCTAGTATGGCAGCCCAAAATACGGCCACTACAGCATTTTCTTTTTTTGCCAAGTCATTCAATAGACATTTCGCCTCGTGAATCGCTTCTGATGTCTGAGTCTCATCGCCAACAAAGCTTTCTGAAAACTGTTGTAACCATTTGCCAAAGCTGCTCTTGCTGTATAGTCATCTGATTAGTCGGCGTTAAAATAACCGCGATAAAATTGCTTGCGATTATATTACTGCGTTATATATGAACTAACTACCATAATATTAATATCTAATTTGGAATGCGTTCAGAAATGTACTAAAATAGCGTCGATGTAATGTACAGAGCAAGACAATCGTCATTGAAATTTCGAATTAAATTTTTACTGTTTAAGAAACATTGTCAATTTTTTTCTCTGTAGCACAGGGCCCCTGANAAAAAAAAATTCGTTAAATAGAAAATTCACTTCGCTATTTAGAAGTTATTTAACGAAGAAATTTCCAAAATGTTCTTGGTTCCACGAAAAAATTCGCAAAATAGAGAAATTCGTAAAATGGAAGTTCGTTATATAGAAGTCAGACTGTATATAGTCAAACCCCGCCATAGTGAACTTTCAAGGGACTGAAATTCCGGTTCACTATATCCGTTACGCGGGCAATTTAACATGTGGTTCCCAAATTCCTCCCTTTTATTACATATTATTGAAATAAATGACTCAAAAATATTATGTAGTAGCAAAAAATGTGTTATTTTTTATTACTTTTCGTCCTGCGTAATAAAAAAAAAATTAGTAATCCTCAGCTGATGAGCAATCCTCAACATCATATAATGGAAACACTTTCAGATAATTTTTCCTGGATTTCTGTTATTCCGCTTTTTAAACCTGTCTAACCTGCCATTCGAGCACATAAAAGTAGTCTAATAAAATCGCTTAGCAAATTTATCGACATTTGTCCAGATACTGGCGGCTTCTTCGAATGCTGAATCACTTCAGTAATGCTTCTTCAACATCCTTGTGATCTGCTTTTCTCAACTTTTTTCTGCCTTATAAATTTTTTTGATGAGCAGAAATTGTTAATTGCTTTTTTTCTTCTCCATAAGTTACAAATTGCAGATTTGGATAGTTTATATTCTCTGCAAATATCAGCTTGATTACATCCATTTTCAAATTATGCCCATTTTATCAATGGAGAAAATTTTACGTTTACTGCTCGCCATAATTAAATTTGAGACACTTGCTTGCAGGCTTTTTTAAACTGGACTAAGAGCAAAAAGGAGTTGATATGAGGGCCTTATCAACACATATTAGTATCCAACCCTTTGACTAATAATGAATAATTACTCATTCCCTCTGACAGAAAATTCATATTGCTCCCACTGACACCTTACAGGTGCATCATCTGCCTGGGTTGGAAACATCTGCTTGGTTTGTTTAGAGATGGGAAAGGTAAAAGAAGCAAACAAGAAAAAGTGCTTATCGCTACATTCCAAGCTATAGATGGTTTTAAAAACTGGTATATGTATTTATTTTGAAGTAGAAATTTCAAAATTATAACAAAAAAAATCAGTCGAAGACAGAAAAAAGTTCATTATATCCAACTTTCTCACTTTTTTGGTTCACTATATCCACAAAAAATAACATTATAGTGTATAGCAAGGCATGGGACCGAACATTTCGTTCACTATATCCGGGAGTTCACTATAAACCGTGTTCACTATAGCGGAGTTTGACTGTATATATAGCAAAACCACAAAACATATGTCAATACTATTCTCAATTCATTTTATGAAATATTGATAGTATAAATTTTAATTTCCAAGAAAAGATCAACACATTATGAAATTTTTATTCTACATTTCATACTTTGCTTTTTGACTGGTTTAAGGACTCATTGAATTAATATAAAGACAAACTGATCGAGAATTAACAAACATTGTTCAGAAAATGGGCGCTTCGAACGAAATAGTTCCATGGGTGATGTTAAAGAATCGTATTTGCCGCTAACTAGTACAGATAATTTGAAAATTATATTACGGAGACAGACATTGGGATATTTTTCGTATGTGTGCTATATGGCAATATATTATTTGTGGAACTTAAAAGTCGCCATGTCGCATAAAAGTTTAATGAACAATGCTTTTAAACAAATACGGTGTTTGAAGCATATTTAAAATTATTTAGGTACAGTGCGCACATAAAAGAACGGACCCCGGTGAATAACTTTTGATCTAATGATCGGATCTTCCCGTTCTTGAACGAACCAAATCTGAATGGTTCGTGGGGGTGACCTCAAATATAAATGAGTGAGGGAGTTATTTCAAGTTGAGAAATCAGACACAAAAATGTTCTTCCTCTGAATAAACATACCTTTCTTTCGATGGAAGCCCAAAATATGAACTCAAAATATTTTCAACTCTTATTTAAATTCGCGATCGCAACAGTCGAATACGCCATCTGGGGAGAGACCGGTTTCATGCCTTTAGCCCTTCTCCTCCTCTTTTCAGTTATATAGGAACGTACTACGATATTTTCCCTTTTCTTAATATTTTTCCTTTTTACTTAATAAAAATATTTTCTAAAATTTCCGTGATACTTTTCTTTAGAACTTTGTTCAATATAGTTTTTCAAGTTAAAAGATTTTAATCTATATGAAAATCAAGAGAGAAACTAACGTACTTCCTTCCTCTATGACTTTCCACACGCTAATGGGGAAAGCATGTGAAGTGTTGCCATAGAAAAAGAGTTCTGCTCTACGCCACCTGCAACCCATTTCGATCGCCCAATAAAGTAATAATAAATATTTGCCAAAAGTTATAATTTACATTGAATTATGCATGGATAAATGAATTTTGTAATTGTGCTCAAAAAACTTTTCAATTCGCATAAAAAGTTCTCAAGATACCATGAAATACACAAAAGGTAAAATTAACATTCAGGGGTCCACACTTTGGTCCTCTCTCCTGACCATATTATGGGAACCCTATTTACCGAATTTCGGTCTTTTGGGGGGGTCAAAAATCCGAATCCGTCGAAGAAAAAAAAAAGGTATGTTTATTCAAAGAAAGTAAATTTTTGTGTCTGATTTCGTGACTTAAAATATCGTCTGCATTAATTAGTTAGCATATTTGACGTCATTCCCTCGAATCATTAAAATGGATTCCTAGAACGTGAAGATCCTATCATGAGATCAAAAGTCATTCAGGGTGGTCAGTATTTCTTTTTGGCGCATTGTATAATAAAAGCATCATGTATCGAGTACGGCAGGTTACCTTCAAAATGCTTGGATTGAATTAAAATTGTATGTTCATAACGGCTTTAAAATGACTAGCCTTCTGCCATTGTGGCAGTTTAATGAGATAAGTACAGTAGAGTCCCGATTATCCAAGTTCATGTGGGCCACGGCTAACCAAAAAACTCGGTTAAAGCGAAGGGGTTTAAAAAAGAAAAGAGTAGGTATAAACGTAATATATTTAACAAATACAAAATGTATATGAATACACCATGTACATTCATATTATAATTAAAAAGCTTACTTAAAATCACAAGAGCATACTTTACGAGAATGAAAGAATTTTTACATTAAACGCGTAAATTTAAAAAAAAAAAATCTGACTTAAAAGGAAGCAGGGATTAAAAACATCGAAACAGTTCAATTGCCGGATAAAACTTGAAATTGTTTTTAGTAATAGTCGTTCACCTCCATCTAGTGCAAACAAGTTTTAATGTACCCTTTCTCGAAAGTAATCCGCCGAATTTTGATAACGGCTAAATTTTTTTTCTTACTGTAATATTAAAACCCCTAATGTGTATATGGTTATAGACAAGAATTTTAAATATATATATTTAAGGCAAGTATAATGAGAAATAGTTTTTGTATGACTTAATGGATTATTTAAAATAAAACACAAAATATAAAGTGTTAATTTAAATGGCGAAAACAAACATTGAAATTTGCAGACTCTCACAAATTGTCAAAGCAATAATCTTTGTGTTGTAGAAAAATGAAATTACACGTGAAATATAAAATTATGTCATATAATCTGGCATACGATCAAGCGAAAGGGAGAAACACAGAGAGATGCAAAAAAATAAATGAATTACAAGGTCTACCTATATTCAAATAAAAAAGATTTTACATATATTTAGAATCTAAAATTTATTCTAAAAGGGATGCTTTTAGATTTAGTGTTTTATTTTATTTTAAAACCATCTTTGAACAGCCAACCCAATTTGAGTTTACTACTATACTAATGTTCAAAATCGTAGCCCAGTGATTTTGAACCCAATCCAGAAGACAAGGGAACTACTGGATAAAGTATTGGGAGAAATTTGGGTTTGTGGAGGACTTTTTGATGGAACTTACCCACATTTGCGTTACACAGAGAGAAACCACTAAACCCTTACACGGTGACGGTAAGAGGACTCTACCGCATCATCCGTCTACCACTGGGGATATTTTACGTCAACACTGCGAACCGGTTGTTAAATTCGTATCTTAAAATGAAGCGTAGAATTACATTATAATAATAAACAAAAAGAATTTTCTTAGTTTTAAACTCATGATTAAAAAAAAAAAAAAAACAATCAAAATCAGAAACGTTATAATAGAAGTGCGGGTTAATATCTTTTGAATTAGGGACAGTAAAATATTTATAGTAAAACAATACCTCTTTAGAACTTTTATTAATTTTACGGCAACAAAAGAAAACTGTGGCAGGCTATTCTGTTTCTATGTTACAGAGATAAACTTTCTATTATCTTGAATCGAAAGATAAAGATAACAAACGGTTTCAGATAGCTTCTCCCAGAACGTGGAATTGGATTTGTGTTAATTTTTTTTCCTATCAAAATGATTTCCAGACTCCAGCCAGTCCGTCAGTCTGTACTCACAGGTCTAACTTATAAAGAGTCTGTCGAATCTTGTGAATGGGTTATACTCTATGAAATACCCATCTCAGATATAAGAGTACCCTGTGGGAGAAATCTTCCTCTCAGATATCGGGGTCAGGATGAAATAAAAATAGGAAATAATGTATTTGAGCCCAAAGGATTTCCATATTATTTCGACTTGTTATGCTACCCTGACGGGGACAGTAAAGAAAATAAAGGTATGATTTCTTTTAAATTTGTTCAGAAAAAAGATTTAAGAAGTAGTTTCATATCAAAATTTTACTCTCGTCAAACGATACATGGAGAGCTTTCTGTGGTGGATATAGAAGAAAAACTTTTACTTTCGAAATCATTTGTGGGTGTATTCATACTTGAGAATAAAGGAATTGTTTTTGACATTGAACGGTACGTGGACAGGGAACTCTTCCTGGCATCCGATCTCTACAATGAAAATGTATTGCTCAACGAGAGCGGCAAGCTGACTTTACGTTGCGAGGTAACGTTTCTTTTCCGGGAGTCTATACCCTCAGACCGCGCTTCAATTAATCACGAACCCTTAGATCGGTATTTTCAAATAATAAAAGGTGGATTAACGGGAGTTGACGTTCCCGAACGTCTCGGAATAATTTTGAAAAAATGGGGGGAAAAGTCTCCATATTTTCAAAAGCTATACGAATTTATGGATAAAACAAAAATGCGCTCAACACCATGCGATTATGTGATTAAAACAATAATTGACATAATTTGCTACTTATTGCTTGACACAGTATTCCATATGGGTAAATTGGAAAAGATTGCAGCCAAATTATTGAACACTCATTTTAGTGTTGCAACGGAACTTTTGGATCCATATTTGACAACAGTTGTTCAGTATAGGTGCCTGAACTTGTTGTGCAATCGACTAACAAGTGACATTGTTTGCCACATGTTCATTTTAGCAGATATGCAAGGTGATTTATGTTTGAAAAAAGCAACTGTAGATTATATAGTAGAACATTTTTGGGGAGTGAAAGCTCATTTCAGTTGGAAGATACTCGGAAAAGAATGCCCACTAATAGGAAAAGACTTAACAGATCGAGCAAAATACAACGAGAATATGCATGGTGCAGAATACGCAATCGGCATATTATCTTTAGCAGAAAATCAAAGAGATTCAGAATTGAGGGTAAAGGCTTTAAACGATATGTTGGAATATTTTAGATACTTAAAACCTTCGCAGTATTGGAGGGAATTCGAAAAAGAACGTCCCGAAATAACAGAAGAACTAGCTAGTCATGCGAAACACCTGCTTGTGTCTAAAGCAAAAACAAGAGTTCTTTGCGGGATGTTACACTTGGCAGAATGGCGAAGAGATTTCGATTTGAGAGAAGCAGTTATGAACTATATATTGGAAAATATTGAAAAAGTTAAATCTTCATCAAGTTTTCAGACACTTAAACTAGATTTTCCAGGAATAAAAAAAGAATTAATGGACCATGCAAAATGTGTAATTGCGTCTGAGCAAAAAACTAGAATTAAAAATATTGTTTTCGGCATGATAACTCTAGCAGAATGGCGTAGAGATATTGAATTGAGAGAAGCTGTTATCAACTACGCGATGAAAAATTTTCAAGATGTTAGAGAGTCGTCAAAATGGGACACACTTAAAATAAAACATCCACAAATAGTAATAACTATAACTGATCGTTTGAAACGTTCCAAAGGGTTTAATCCTAGATCTTTTAGTGACTTTGATTTAGATTATTGTAACTGCGATTGTGAACTGGTACTTTTCTATGAGATTCCTATTTCATACCTAGTCGAATCCTTACCATGGGGAAGCAATGTTAGTTTGAAACCCTTGGACTCAAATGGAACAAAAAAAAGCAGTTGGGAGCCATTCCCATTTGCTTACTATTTTGAGTTGTTGTGTTACCCCGATGGAGATTCCGAAAGAAATAAGGGTATGATTTCTTTCGTATTCTCTGAAATAAATGACGTGAAGAATTTTTTCCCAGATAATTCAATAACAATGAATGGAATAATTTCTCTGGTGGATACCCAAAATGATCTCCGATTCCCACAATCAGTTGAGGTGACATCTGCTTTCGAGAGTAAGGGAAGGATTGTTTTTGGTATAGACAGGTACTTGAAGAGAGAATTCTTACTGTCATCCGATATTTTGACGGAAGATATGTTATCGAAAAATAATAATGGCAGACTGACGTTACGTTGCGACATGAAGTGTATTTTTACAGAACTTTTACCGAAAGTTGTCGATTTATCTGATGATGATTCAGAAAGAATCGCATGCTATAGAAGATAAAAAAGATTGAATTGTGGAACTCAGTGGCAACTTCAAGACAAACTCCTCCATTTCCTCTATTTTAAATGTAAATAACTCTTCATTTAATTTTCATCAAAAAATAATTAATCGATATTAAATATTTTTATTTTCATGGAACTATCCTTAGATAAACGAATTTCATAACTGTGATCGTAAACTTTTCAAATCTCCGAAAAATCTCCCCGAGAAATGACGAAATACGCAAAATAACCAAATTTTTGACCTCTCTCCTGCCTATTGGGATTATAACTGGGCACTTCAAAAGGAAAACAACGTATAACCTATGACGTCAGCTTATGTTTATCAGAAAAATGGCGTATTATTAGGACTAATAAATACTTATTATAATTTTACATTAAGACTTATAAATACTTATTTTAAATACTACTTAATTAAAAAAAAATTATTATTTTAAATGAAAACAAATGAAAGTATAGTGAATTTAATAAAATATTCAATGAAATATGGCATAGGTCAAAACATAATCCAAGTCATTCTAATGTTTTTTTAAAATAATATTCAGTAATATAAATTAAATTTAGGGTTAAAAGTAAATGACCGACTAAAATTTCCTTCAGGGTGCGTAGCCAAATTATTCAACAAAAAATAAGCACCTTTTAAACACTTTTCAAGAACTCAAAAAATATTTTTAAGCACTTTAAAAAAATGTCATAATTAGGCAGTGTTGGAAAGTTTTTGACAAGGAACGGTTTTATCTTGTTTCAACAGTCACGTAAAAAAAAAAAAATTTGGCATTGATTTTGACAATTGTCAAAAATCATCAAATTTTGAATCAGTAAAACGAATGGCGTTTTCATACGTTACAGACTGACAATACACCGAAGTATAAAGAGGTTGAACTAATTGTGAAAACGTTGAATAGAACAATGTGAACTGTGTCTTTTTGCATAATTCGTAGCGAAAATCAACATAGTAAAGAAAAAACCTCACTTTGAAAAAGGGAAAATTAAGTACTTTTTAAGAAGACCCAATGAAAAAAGCACCTTTAGGGGCTTTTAAAAAACGAAAATAAGCACCTTTAAGCACTCTTTAAAAAAGCTACGCACCCTGTCCTTAAGAAAATGAACATAAATATCTCTTACAAATGCAGCTCTAAATTTTTTTTATGGGATAATAACAAAAGTATACTGATAATAATGGAATTTAATTCTTAAATAAGTAGTTTCTGATGAGATGCACCTTAATCATGAAAATGTCATTTCATTAAAAAAAATCATGTAATAAAAAAATTACCATTCAATCAGTAAAAAATCATGTAAAATATTTGCTTCATCACCCAAAAATGTAAACAAGTTTATAAAAAAAATGCTAGTACACACAGTACATTTCTAAATTCTTTTAGTTTAAGCATATTTTAGATTTTAAATTGAAGCTTTTAATTTCTATGAATTATTTTACAAATCACAATAATAAAACAATATTTACTTTTTTTAAAAGGGATGATGTAAGACATTCTACTTTAGGAAAGCGTTAAAAATGCAATCATTAAACAAGTATGGTACAGAAGCCTTTTGCCAGCGCTGACTGATTCCCTCCCCTCATATCGAATCGCTTCTTCGAACATGTTTGTGAAAATGTTTTTCACATATCTGCAGTTAAAAGCAAGTAATGAATATTCATAATAACAATATCTATTTTTACTACACTTAGAAAATTAGCAAATTGACTCTTGAATTGCATAAAAATTATCTAACTCTTACTCTTGAGTGAGCAGTTACTTCATAATTCTTTCTTCATTTGTCAACTACAATTGTTGTCCATTTTGGGGAAATTTAAAAACAGAAACTTTATTGTTCTTGTAATAATTATCGAGACAAGCAGATAGAGAGCAAATGTAAACCATGTTTGATGACTGAAAAAATAAATATACATTAAGACGTATACCAAAAACATAATTATTTTTTTAACAACAGTTAATTTACGATTTTAACTTTATAATGAAAATATAATTTGCTAAATTGAAAAACTCAAAATCAATACAATTCGTCTTATTTTGCTAAACTTATGATTAAATTTTATCACAAAAAAAGTATAATAAAACATTACATTCTTGAATAAAAAAGTTAAATATATATTTTTTAAGAAACTAAAAATAAAAAAAAGGACTGACTACACAAATATTTTTTACCCCCCCCCCCTTTATATTTTAAATCATTTATTACTTTTATTAAAAATATTCATTCAGTTTCTTTAAAAAGCAAACATTTCTATTCTATGATAAGTAATTTAGTATATTTTTTCAGTTATCAGTTTGTTAAATAAATTTTTTCAAGATCTGACTCATGTAAAACACAAATATAATCAATAATCTCTAAGAATTCAATTCATTAAATCTGAATTCAATTGATTTTTTTACTGATGAAATTTCTTCAAAAAATTTTTTTTAAAAACCATAGTAGAATCCCACAAAATATTTTGTTATTTTCAGTAAAAAAAAAAAATATTTAACAGCAAACTAGAAAGATCATTAGTCTGCATACACATCAAACATTGATCTAATATTAAACTAATATTTTTGTTCCTAAATATTGGTATATACTTAATATGTTTTTAAGAATGAGTGACATTTATAAATTCTACAATATTAAAACTTTTCTTGGGTATATTAAATTTCAGCTAAATTTAATTCATTTTAGCTAAATATAAACTAAAATATAAATTAAAATCGTCACTCTTCAAAACGACAACTTGGTATTTCTTACAAGCATGTGTTTAAATTTGACTTCATATGAATTAAAAATAAATCATCAAATCATTTAAAAATTTCTTCAAAACACTTGTTTATAATAAATAATAGCTTATAATACTTAGTAAGCAATTTTAAATTATTGCCAACATTATGCCAACTGATAATTCCATATTACAAAATATTTATTATATTTGGTTTGAACACACATACTAATCTCCACTCTTATCCAGCAAACATGCAGTACAAGATATAATAAACACCGTGTTAATATTTCAAGACATTTAAGCATTTGTTAGAATAAAATATGTAAACTTCAACAGTAAAAAATATTGCATAGCAACTTATGTATTTAAATGGGTATTATTTAAATGTATAAATCAAACATATTTCACTGATATATTGAAATGTATATTTTATAAACAAAGATAGACCACAATTCTAAGGTTATTTGAAATATTGAGCAGTGTAATAAATATTCTTCTAACACTTTTTAAACCTATTCAAAATGCTTAGGTCCACTTAAGATGCATAATCATACATAGATCATGAAGAATATATAATTGTGCAATTCTATTGTGTATAAATAACACAATAGAATTTTTTGTAATTTTATGTTAATAAGAATACAAAAATGTGTAAATAAAAATAAGTTATTTCAGCTTCAAATGGAAATAGATCAGGTAACGCACATAAAAAACATTAGCATTCAAATAACTGCTTTAGCAACATAACACATAAAGGAAGTTACATTATATCCATGCTTTCAATCCCTTTTCAAACTTAATATGCAGCACATTAAAGAAAAATCTATTAAAATCAAACATAATACTTTCTTTAAAAAAAAGAAGGTATTTTTCACTTACTTTCATATCGTTTTAATCCATCTACAAAGCATTGAGTGCCAATCGATGCCACCTTTTGCTTGTGATGCCACAAAGCAAAATCTGCTGAAGACAGCAAGCCTTGACCTACTAGTAGGCGTTGAACTAGTGGGCAGTCAGAAAATTTTACAAGCAGAAATATAAAAGTAGGCACAAAGCATAAAAATTTGACTAACCTTGTTTAATAGTACTTTATATCATATTAATTTTTAAACTAACATTAGACCAAAATAAGGGTAAATTTATTTATTAATTAATTAAAATTAAGACAGTGAAACCTCCAAGAAAGACCATCTCTCTGCAGGGATCACCTCTATTTACTCTTACCTTTTGGAGATACGGAATTCTTTCTATAGAATTTGTATTGAAGAAAACCTTTAGGAGAGACCATTAAAACCTCAACCTGTGACCGGGCAAATATCTGGACCAAATGCGGAAAATGTCAAATAAAGAAATAGGAAAAAGTATCAAAACAAAAAATTTAACAAAACAAATAAGTAGGTTAAAATCTATTCAAAATATTTGTGTGAGATTCTTTTTGACGATACAACCTCATGTTGCAGTCAGAGTGCACTAAAGACGATGCTATCAATTATTTACTTTTAGAGTTCAAAGTTATATTAGAAAAAAACAAGCATCTCAAACCTCTTCACACCTTTTAAAGTTAACTAATATTTATGATACAAAATTAAATTCAAAAACAAATATTTATGATATAAAATTAAATGCAAAAACTACTATATATTAAATAAAATTAAATGCAAACTTAAACACAATTGTTTATTTATTTAAAATAGCTTTATCATTCATAATTGGTAGATATGTTTTTACACATAATTATATCAGTTGGGATCATTTTTATAGACGCTAAATTTTATTCATCGATTCGTCTTTTCAAGACGCCAACAGAAGTGGTACTTCCGCACCAAGAAAATTACACTGGCGAAAATTAGAAATGTTTCCGAAAAATCATGTACCAAGTACAACAATTTAAGTCAATGAAGGTAACCTCTAAGAACGACCCACCTCCATCGACGACCATTTTACTGTGGAAGGGAGAGTGATTGCTCCCGAGAGGTTTTACTGTATAAAAACAAAAAAACATTTGTTTCTATTAGCCTTTAAATTGTTTTAAAATATCTTAAAGGTAATAAAACAAAAATTAAAAATTCATGTACCAGCAGCAAAAAGATATTACAAACAGATTCAAAAACAAATATTTTTATTATGTTTTAGAATTATACTGTCAAAGAAAAATACAAACTGATATTTCATATATTATCTAGATCCTCATGATATCGTTTATCCAGGGATGATTAGATTTACAATTTGCTATCAAGTACACTCTTTTTAACATTTAATTCAGCTTATTCATTAGTAACAGAAATAAAACAAACTCTACTCTGAGCTTTTTAACTAGCAAGTACAGCAATATTAAAAACCAACACCTATATAAGTAATTTTCATTGAAAAATAAATAATCAAATCATTCAAATAAGGGATTTTGTAGAATAAAATACATAATTTAAAATAGCAATAAAAGTTAGCTATTAAATACAATAATAGTGGAAACTTATTTACATCGCACTAGAGCTGCACAATGTGATATTGGCAACGTAAATACGCATGCTATATATATACTTTACATAAATAAATATTAATTATGGCATTTTTACATAAATAAATATTAATTATTGCAATAATTAATATTTATTATGCAATTATTACACAATAAATATTAATTATTGCATACATTTTTGATTTTATATTTTGCAATTCATGCAAAAGCATATTTGCATGAAATTTTATAAGCTCTGTGATTTAATAAATTTCCAATGAATAAGTAAAGAGAATATTTATTTAGCAAATAAACAAAGTCAACAATATATATATAACTTACAACAGGACAATATTTTTCCCTGACCTCAACAGATTTGAACGATTGCAAGTTGTCTGAATTGAATTATAGAAATTCATCATTGCAAAATATTTGATCAAATCTCATAGAAGCTAATTAAAAAGTTAAGATAGATGTACAAGGGGAAATACTAAACATCTAAATTATTTTTCAAACACTAAAATATTTTAATTGTCATGAATGACCTAAACACAAAAATTTATAACAGCTATATAGTACAAAGCATCGTAATATTTTCTTTAACGACCATTTGAAAAAAATTTTTACAATAAAATTTATAACAGCTATATTGTACATAATTTTTTTTCCTTGTAAATGTGATTATGAATTCTGAAAAAGAAAATCCTTCTTTGCAACACTTGATTTAATCTTTTAATAATCATTAATAAAATATTAATAATAAAGGAACAAATATATATTTATATGAGAAAAGACACATCTGTCTAAGCTATTACCACATGCATTCAAAAATATTGCAATCATCTAGGTAAAATCAATTTCATACCCAAAGAAGGAACTTTATTGCATGTAGCACAAAAAAATGATTCCTTTTTATAATTGTAAAATAACAATATAAAACTTGAATAAAATAAAATATAGTATGAATTAATTTAATAATAAATTAAAAAGGAAAATGATATGCATAAAAAGAAATCCATTAACCCTTTTCTCACGGCTTGTACAATTATGTCCCAGAATAGCAGGTATTATCGTGCGAAAGCAGCAGATGTGTATAAAATTATATACTTGATTGATCATCATCCAAAATTAACTTTATGAGAAAGAATATCAGTTATACCTCAAAGGATTTTTTATTAATAAACACAATTTCAAAATCTTAAAGAAAATATTTTTAAGAAGACATCTGAAAAAGAATTTTATTAATAATAGACAAATACTAATATGAAAGATAAATCTAAGTAGTTTTAAATGAGCAGTGAAACCTCTGAGGAGCGTCCACTCTCCGTCACACAGTAAAATGGTCGTTCATAGAGGTGTTACCTCCATAGACTTCATAATTGTTATCAAAGGTGCATGATTTTTCGCAATTTAATTTTAGTCAGTGTCATTTTCTTGGTGCGGAAATGCCACTTCTGTTGGCCTATCGAAAAGACGTATTGATAAACAAAATTTAGTGTCGATAAAAATTATCCCAACTGATATAATCTACTTATTTGTTTCGTTAAAGTTTTTGATTTTATATTTTTTCGTGTTTTCTTATTTGACCTTTTCTGCATCTGGTGCAGATGTTTTCTTGATTACTGTGAGAGGTTTTAAGGGTCTCTCCTAGAGATTTTCTTTAGCGCAAAGTCTACAGAAAAAATTCTGTTCATCCCAAAAGAGTTTCAAATAGAGGTGGTCTTTCTTGGAGGTTTCACTGTATTTCCTTAGAGATATTTATAATAGCACTAGTTTTATAAGTGACCCAATTCACACAAAAGGTTAAATCTTATGTATTGAAATTCTACTTCATGTTATTAACAAAATCACAAATAAACGAAAAACTGATACATTAGATGAGTACAAGAAATGTCACCCTTCTTTTTTATCGTTATTTCTTTGGAAACTTTCATTTTGTTTTAAGTTAGAAACTAATAAAAGTTTTACTTACTTGCACCTGGCTAATGAAAAAATACTAAAAGTTTAGTAAACAATTGATCGATTAACTTAAAGATAGGTAGAAAAATATCTGACAAAAAAAAAATGCGACTAGATAGAGTGTTTTACATACTTTTGCCAAATGAATTTGTAATGCCACCAGTTTTATTGTAATACCCTAAATCAACACAAAAACATGACTTTTTATTCTATAAAACTGAATAATGAAATCCAAATAAAGAATAAATAATCTTGGGCAGGCAATTCATCAAGTTCTTAAGAAAACACGAAGAATTATTACGGAAAAGAGCTATACAGTTGCATTAGATTCATTTGAAATGCCATGAGTTTTATAGTGACCATCTAAAATCAGCTTAACACGAAAAGCTTTATCACATATAGTACAAACAAACGGTTTCTCACCCGTATGAATGCGGTAATGAACTCTTAAATTATACTTAATAGAAAATCTCTTTTGGCAAACATCACAGACATGTGGTTTCTCTCCCGTATGAGACAGCAAATATTTTTTAAAGTATTTGTTAGCGGAAAATGTTTTGGGGCAAATCGTGCATTTAAATGGCTTTAAATTTAAATGACTGCGGATATGAACTTTCAAACTTAACTTAGTAGCAAACTGTTTATCACATATAGAACAGGGGTAATATTTACGTTCTTCGTGACAACTTTTAACATGCATTCTTAAACTCCTCAGACCACAAAAGTGTTGATCACATTCTTTACATTTATGTGGCTTCCAGCCAAAATGAACATTTATATGTTCATTAATGTCATTTTTGTAATAGTACTTTTTTTCACACAGGTGACATTGAAACACGGGTCTAGCCTTTGGTACACGAATGCATGTGTGCGTACGAAAATGTGTCGCAAGCCCTTTCATAGAAGAAAATTCTCTATGACAAACAACACAAACTAGTTTAGTTTGAGCTGGTGGATAAGGGGAGAAATTATCTTCCATTACAGTAGATTTTAAAATGGCTCTATCACTCTGTAAACTTTAACAGATACTATAAATATATCTTAGAACGCTCTAGAGCAACACCAGAGAAATGTTTTAAATACTTAGTTGTAGTAAATCTTTAAAATATACATGATTAATCACTTTGCAATTTCATCAATGCATTAACTGCATTGGTCTCAAATCGGTTGTTGCTATAGACAATAACCGGAAAGCTTTACGACCTACTAAAACTTAACTTATAGCTTACTTAGGTATAAAGAATTTAGAAGACCTAAATTATACAAAAATAAGCAGTAAAGCACGTTCTTTATCCATAGTACTCAGTATCGCCATCTATTGAAATTTTTATAAACTGATTAAAATTCTGAAGTTTCGGATTACTGTAGTACAAATTTTGAATTTTTCTGTTAAATATATGTATAAACTCCAAAGAAACGTTAGATTATATTAAACATATTTTAATTATAAAATAAAGATTTTTTTTTAAAAAATAGCAATGAAATAAGATTTGAAAATGGTTAATGTTCATCTTGTATAAAAATGGCGGCACTTTTTAAAAAAAACATAAAAAAACATCTAGATACCTTATTTTCAGTAATATTTAGTAAACATATATTTATGTTGTTGTTGTTACTTATGCCATATACCAATACCAGCACACCTGCTTGAAAACCAATTGAATTCAATGCATAGGTGTGTGTTACTTGTTTTTTATTGACGTCATCTTAAACCAAGAATACGATTTCAGCAACACACGCGTCACAACCGATTTTATAGAGAGGATCCATTCGTACGTTCACTCACAGATCGCAATTTTGACCTGAATCAGAGAACGATCAATTTCAATTCAGTACTTCCGGAATATTAATTTCTTATAGGAACATGGAGGACCATGCAACCCCGACAGATTTAGCATTGCACCAGTCACCATTTAATACACGAGGATTCTTCGGCCACCGGGATAGAAACTCGCGAACACGAGCCCAACGTCCGACCAACCAGACTAACCAAGCCCCGCTAATATTTATAATACTGATATGTATTATGGCACTAATATGATTAAACCCTTCATGTCAATAATGATGCTAGCATAAATTAAATCGAAAATTAATAAAACTATGATTAATAAATTCAAAAAAGTATTAGAATATTTAAAAAAAATTTAAATATATAAAATTAAAATAATTTTTATACTAAATACAATACTCTGGTGGCGTTACTATACACATAATACTACATACTAAATACAATACACATACTAATTACAATGCAAATATCTCCGTCTCTCTGGTAGCGCGAAAATGTTTTTTTCTTCTTCCAAAATAGGGATGAAATTATTACATAATAAATTGTGACAATAATTGTACACATAAAAAGAGAAAAAAAATTGTCTATCGCAATAATAAACACATTTTTTAAAAAATTATCGAATACAAATTTTTATTTAAAATATATTAAGAGTTATACAATGCATTTCTACTGTCTATATATTATCAGGACAATGTATTATCCAGATAAGCCAATTAAGTTTAAAAATTAACTATATTTAATTTACATAAATTCACTTTCATAAAAGAAATTTCACCAAATTATGCTCGTATCGTATTATATTCCTATCAAATATTTTTTATGAAGAGCAATTTTATTTCCCGCGTGTTTCGCTCCAAGAATCTGTCACCATCTCGAATAAAGCAATAATTACTAAAATTATTTACAAATTCTGCATTAGATTACTCTTTTAGGTTAAAAAATTATTTCTTCCTTTAGTTGAGGAGCATATTGAAGTTATACTTCTTATGCGACTTCCAACAAGGTTGCGTTAAACGTTTAACGCTACATTTTTATTGGACGGGAAATCACGTGGTAGGATCCAGTTTTCCCTCATTCATTTCCATATTGTTTTGGTTCTCACAAGCATAAAAATAATAAAAGTCATAAAAGTATTGTTTTTTTATAAATATTTTTTTAGTTTGTTTTAATACACATATAATTTAATAGGGTAGTATTTTTTATTTTCAAATTTAGTGGATAACAATTGTAAAAAAATGAGTGAAAACAATCCCACGTACAATGCGACGGATTTAAGGTTATGTCAAGGTACGCCTCTTGTGAATATCAATTGATTGTTAGGTTTTCTCTTCTGAAATTACATTATGACGCATTCACATACATTATTAATACAAATACATTTTCCAGGGCGAGACGATGAGGCAACCACAAGCACTTCCACTGGTTCAAGAGGTCTACGAGAGAAAAATGCACAATATTACCGTGATTACAGAGCACGGAAGCGAGCGGAGCAGGAAAAAGAGTCTTTGAATAGAACTAAAGATCCTTCTACGACTGTTGATTCTTCTACAATTAACGTCGCAGGTTGAGAAGTTTAACTTCTTCCCCGCAGAGGGACTCCACTCACTATTTTTTTTACATACATCTTTGGCAGTGGTCGAAAAAACTGCATTTTCTTTGCAGTTAACTACAACTTCTTTATTACAATTGTAGTCAACCACAATTTGTAACGACTACAAACTATTTTCGAAATGTAGTCACTACTTTACTACTTTTAGAAGACAAACTTAATTTTCACCAACATTTAAAATGATTTTGAATAAAAAAATCGACTTGGTTAAATATGAGGAGATATTAAGAAGTTTTAATTCATGTTTACATGAAATAGTTTTTTTTAATGATACGAATTTTTTCTTTTACCTTCAAACTCGATGCTTTTCTCGATAATAAATATTTAATTTATGAAATGCTAGGAAATAGTTCTTATTTTTTATTCTTTTATTTATTTCTTATTGAAAAGCACTTTTTACGAATTTGTTCTTCTCCCTTTCAAACTCTATTGCTTTTCTCGACAGTGATTTAAGAAATGATAGGAAATTATCAAATATTTGTGATTTAAGTGATCAATGCTTTCTTTTATTCTCCAAAAAACAAAGTTCCGTGCGAAAAACAATAAAAAAACGGATCACTCTGAATAACTTTTGATTTAATGATTGGATCTTCACGTTTTAGGGCTCCATCGTAATGATTCGATGGGGTGACAGCAAATATGCTCATTCATTAATGCTGACGATATTTTGCTCATTCATTAATGCTGACGTTACAAAATCAGACACAAAAACGTACTTTATAGTTCCTGTGAAATCAAATTTTCGAACGATTTCGCACCGATTTTTCCAATCATCAGACGTAGATCTTATTTAATGCTTGGCCACAGATGATGCTTTCTCATAGCTTACATTTACGAAGGATTTGCACCAATCAAATTTGAAATTTTCTTTTATTGTTTGGAACTTTGCTTCTTTATTTAACTAGCGTTAAAAGTAGTTGCCAGGAATCGCTAGTAACTATTGTCTCGCACTACACTACAAACTATGGAGGAAATAAAAAAGTAGCGATTACAGTAGTTTCGCTAGCGCGCTACCCAGAGACGCAGCTATAAAACTGCTACACCAAAAGATAACATTCTGCAATTAATGATCCCCTGTAGACATTACAGCTGTAACAATAATATGTTTGCTCTTTTTTTTAAAAAAAAGTTTTTTTTTTTCTAAGAAATTGCAAGTAACTCAAAATATCACACCAATTCCATTTTGACAAAGTTGCTTTTCTTCCTGAATACTTAATATTTCCGAAAAAAAAACAATTTTGTTTCTAGTTTCTTAATAACAGTTAAATTATTGTTGTAAAAAGTTTTTTTTTTGTTTAAAAAACATTAGTCTTTTTTTAATAATGACATACGCATTTTTGTGATTTATCTAAAATTTTATACAGGTTATATTCAGTAATCCCCTTCTTATTTTTAGTACCCAAGTGAAAAATGGAAATCCAAAGCTTTGTCAAAAAAAAAGAAAAAAAAAACATTCATTTTAAGAGTCACACATTAAACCGTATACGCGACAAAGAAACAAATTCTCTACCGAAACCAAATGAATCACGACAGAAGAAGGTGAAACTGAAACCATTGGAATATTCTAGGTGGTTATGTATTAGAAACACCTCTGTAAGTTACTTCAGAGGAAATAAAAATAATTTTCAAGTTCAACTTTTCGTATTGTTATTAACTTGAACTGTCAGATGATTGTTATTATTAGAATAGCGTATTTCTGCGATACATTTTAAGATAAGGCTGTCTGATCTTATTAATTGTTTTACAATCATGAATTATGGTTAAAAAGATTCGTTTAATGATTTAGAGCTTTAAGCTTCATGTGATGAAAGCAAAAATTGTGTTTAAAATACGTCCGTTTGGTAAGCAAAAATACTAAATTACAGCTGTGAACTCAAAAATTTCTTATAACAATATACATTTAATTTTAAATGTTATTTAAAAATATAATTGTTTAGAAAAATGATTTATGTCCACTATTAGATAGGGATATATTTGGACGTGGGGCCACAAGTGTTCTTTTTCGTACATATTTTAAAATTTTGTACATTTTAGTTCTTTTTTGTACATTTCGTACATATTTTAAGTTGAATAATTTCATCTGTTTTATGCCAAGAAACAGCAATTATTGCGAAGCAATCATCGGATTTGGGTAAGCGTCAGGAAACAGTGGGCTTAGTTTAAAATGAATATGGCGACTCTAAGTTTGCAATATTAGTATTGTGCGATAGTGTTGTTTATTGTTCCGTTATTCCCATTTGCAATATAATTAATTCATAGCTGACAATTAGACCAAACGATGCAAGGATTATAGTTTTATCTACTTTGAACAGGTCTAAAGGTTTCAAAACGACATCTTTCTTCACTCTATCGAAAGCTGAACTTAGCAACATAAAACTAGTCGCTTTTGATGTATTTTCAAAAGCACTTTTCTCACTTTCTGCTGTTAGAGTAAAGAGTCTTTTAGATTCCAGCACTTGATTGCTGACTTTAGTAGATAAATGGACGAGTAACGTAAACTCGCCGGCAAATATCATGATTGAAAATAAGTAGCATAACAAATAAATCACGTTTCTGTTTTCCGATTTTAGAACAATACTGAGACAATAGCAGACGCTGTACAACCAGTAAGCAAATAAAACAAACACTAACTGTGAAATAACAGCGTTGGTTTTTTTCACAGAACTCGACAGTCCAGAATATGCTGAAGATATTTCAAACAAACTATTTGGTGTTATTTCATGTTTCAAAACCGAAATCAAGAATCGATGGTGGATTTGTGACAAACGATAATTCTCTTTCATCACGAGATAGCAAACGACAGCCGATAATAGTGGAATAAATTCGAAAAACAAATACATCATACCCACATAAAGTCCAAAAATAACAATAGGAAATGTTTTCCAATATTGAAGCGCTATTTCACCGTCAATTTCTTTAAAAATTAAAAGGAAACGCAATTTTGCTGTTGAGTACACAGGATTTTTCTACTGTCTATATATTATCA